AATCTTGAACCTAAGTGTTTGATATTCAAATTTCGCTTTCTGGGTCAAAACTACTCGAATTTCCTCACTAACGTTGTTACGACTGAATCGACTTTACAATTCTCTATACAACGATGCCAAAACAAATTCTGTTGCTCGAATGGTTCTTGAGAAACTTCGAATAAAGGCCATTTAGTTATCTCTGGAATGATGTAAAAACGAGCTTTCTTGCTCATTTTGCTTCCGAGAAACATGCAAAACGGGGCGGAAAACATGAAATTTTGCAATAACCTTGCGCCACCCTTGCACAAAACGACGATCATTTTTCTAATTTCATAGATAACAGAAGACTGTATTTTTTCTACATAACCCCCCCGCTGACTTTTACACTTTTACTACATGATCTTTTTACTTAAAGGCCTGTTTGAAATCGTTGCTCTTCCCTCAAATTTAAAATACGTTTTCCTTAGGAGAAAACAAAGCGAAATATGACTACAATGTTAGAGCTTAGTTCTTACAGGCAGTGGAATAGGCACTACAATAATGTCTTAATGGTTAAAGTTCCTTATTTTCTGTTTTCTGCGAGATTCTGTTATAATAGTTAACTTGCTGGCACAGATTACAGAAAGTTGTGGAGCCTCGTTTTATCAACGATTTATTTCTCAGTTAGTGTATTATTAATAATATATAGCACGTGAAAATGAGCACCGATCCGAGCCAAGCGAAAGCGGCCAATAAATACAAAGCCCAATAAAATCGTAAACATTGATACGGCTTCTATTAATCTATCAAATAATTATTAACTTTAAACTGGATAAGCTGATGCTAATCCTGTGGCGAGAATTAGATCGTCAATCGGAATTATCCTTGTAGATATATTAACGGAATAAGTCAAAGGACAAAACGTAAATATTCCTGCCAGTGACAACCAGTTTGTTATCTATGTATAGAGATTTTTATTTTATAATACATTATTTATAACTTGAGCTGCCTTTCCTGTTTTCGAATATTCTCTAAGATTAACAAATATTTGACTATTTTCCCAGATGCAATTACGAATTTGTAACTAATTAAATATCATTTTGGAATCGGTTTAAACTGTTTTCAATTAGAATCACTTGAAAAATACGCTACTTTCAGACACTTACTGTTTGAATTGGAAGTGTTGGGTGCAGTCAACTGCAGCATAGCGATCACACACAAGTTTCAGTTTCATCCAATGCACAATAGGGATTCAAATGACACCAAACAAAACACTATCGCACTAGAAATTGACAACGCAACTGAACTCTGACATCAAAGTCAACGAATTAATTCCCAAAAAGTGATCTTTCGGGGGCTTGTTTGTACAGGTACTATCTGCCTGGTTGGCACCGATCTGCGTTCTGATTGGTTGGAGGTTCACCCTCCTACCCATGAAGGGATAATTGAGCCCTTCCCATTTCCCGAGCATACCTTTTGACAGCCCAACTGTCGGGAGGTTTTAGGTAGGGGCCATGGAATCACTTTTGCGGTTGCTGTGATGTATATGGAATTAAAAAAGATGCTTTATTTATCAAGAATCAAGGTTACATGAATAAACTTGTCCATGCCTTGTATTGTTAAGCGATCCGTAATCCAGAATCCGATTTCAAAATTTAAACATAACTTGCCAACGTAGGTACGTTTGAATTTCATTTCTAAGATTGACTCTTACAAACTGCTCAAAGATAAAATCGCACTGTTTAAATGCTAGCCGTTTTATGTTTTTGGCATGTAACTTTTCCATATCTAACCACCTGTTAATGAATAGTTCGAAAAAAAATACCACAAATGTTAAAAAAATTTTCAATTTTGCGATGTCAATTTTTGACGTAGGAGGCCTCTATTGATGCAAAACAATCCATTACACTTGACAAAAAAATTTTTTTGAACAAAATCCTCTTCAAGTATGGGACCGATGACGTCATTACCTCCCACCAGTAGTAGGTACCCCCAGGTTTGGGAAAATTCAAACTTTTACAGTGTAAAACTAATCTATCGATAGTAGGTCGATAATGTAGATTAAGTCSATAATGAAGCACGTGCCAATGGKGCTTTTCGTTTCTAAGCWATAAACATTCAATGCTTCGCTTTACWTGRGGCTCTTATGGGAGCGAAATTTTAATTATGCTTTTTGAATGTCAAAAACGCCGAATACTGTCAAACTGTTTGACATGCTGTCTTTGTGCCTTCAAATCAAGAGGCTACAAAAACGGTTTGAAGTCGCTGTCTTGGCCGATTTTTCGATCGTCAATTTAGTTTACATACACTCTTTTGGGAAAAAGACAAAATTTTGACTTTGGCCTTCAATTGAGGTACCTCAAAATTATCCTAGGTTAATGAGGTTTCGTGACCGGATAACCCGATTTCCTGGCCACAATCTGGAGTAAAAATTTTCAAAATCCCTTCATTATTGACTCGTCCAGAGGTCCGTTTAATGCAAAAATGTCCGGCTGGATTGTCTACACCCGTTTACGCCAGGCCGACGGCGCGGATTTTTATTTGACGCTTTAGCGTCATGGTTTAAATTTATGAAATGTAAGAAATTCAGTTCTCCACCTTCTGTCAGTGTGACATTTGACAGCAGTTGCCATGGCAAGCGGTACATATTATGTATGTCTATGTCAGAAAACTTAAATAATTTCTAAAACCATGTTGTCCTATAAATCGCGTTAACTAAATGGGAGTTACTGGAGTCAATCAGAGATAGCGTAAAAATTGAAGAGTCTGATCTGTTCTTGCGGTGTTTAGAGGCAATAAGTAGGTGAATATTTACCCCTATCCGTGCCAAATGGTGAATTTCTGTAAAATAGTTGTCAAAAGATAGACATCTGCTTTTACTATCAACCATAATTTGTCTGGAATGTTGCAAATTCAGAGTAGATATCTATCGAAATCGACGGCATAATTACCTAACTAACACATATTGCACATTTAAATCCCCTGATATCAGTTTTTTATTGACATGGTCTTCGACATATAATTTCGAATTCCATATCGGTGCAAAAATGTTTATTGCGTACATCCTTGGTTAACTGCCACCATAAAGATGCCATAAAGTTAATAACAGCTAAGCCGAGTCACGGCTTTTCTGGTTACAAGTTGCAATAAATAGTTTCACCAATTAAACGTATTTTCAGTCGCTTATTATTATCATCGTAGATTATCATAAAATATATTGATAATCCCTGGAGGTTTTATACCGTCAAGACAAACATTGTAAAGGAAAAAAATTGTGCCAAMTTTAATTACTTCAAGTTTTAACTGTAAAACAGTATCCATATATTTTGARAACAGAAGCAGTGAGGAAAGCAGCAGGTATATTTCTTTATGGAGATYGTGTTCAGCTTTTAGTTTGCTGCATTTCAACAGTCTGCTTTGGGCCATACATTGACKAWGTCTCAGAAACAGTTCGAGAWCRARAGAMRTTGYGWTGAATGAACKWSRAWYGAAARAAAATTTAAGACAAGTCATCATTATTCTAGAGGGAATTCCGAAACACATCTGGGATCAAATACGGACTTGCTGGTTTAAGTTTTATGACCGATCTATTAAAAATGTTTCGATGAAAATAAGAACAGTTTCTATCCAAGGCCCGCAGGAAATGAGACTGCTTATTTCAGACCAATCGATCAAACGAATTCATATACCTATCTAGTACCACGTATAGTCAATGAAAACAAAAATTCACATCAAATTTTTAATGCACTTAAGAGTAAATGTCTACTTAAATTTTAAGTTTGTCCAGAGAAGCCTGCTTAATGATTGTAAGAAATATCATAACGGGACACCTTTTGGCTTTGTGATGCCGGTTCCCAGAATCATGAAACTAACTTTCAGCTATTGGCTTCCAAAACTCCAAAACGGAAAACAGATAGAGATGCCATCTAAGAATTTGCCGGCTGTAAACCGCACAAACAATGGTTGTACACCGCCGATGATCTCCCAACAATGAACAGATTAGCCCCTGCTTTGGCTTTACTGACATTTGGTCTCTTTATTGGGATCAGTTCTACCATTGTCCAAGTTTGAATATCAGTGGTGTAACAGTTTGAAAATTTAGGATGCTTATTAGCAGAAAAATTGAAACGGTTATCGAACTACTCACTCGTTTAATACAGATTTTTTAATTTTTTTCAATAACTTTGCAACAATAACTGCGTTGACCCAAATCATCATTTGTTCTTTGAATAGTAATTGACAATTAATCAAGTGTGGAG